CACACACACACACACATTTTTAAGTCGGCGGCGCAGAGGGGCCTCAGGCGCGGTCGACGGGGGGAGGAGGTGCCAATTGCGAACGAGCATCAGTCGGCCGCGCGTCATGATGAAAGAATCCAGCCACGGCCATGCAGATTGGTAGTGGTAAAAGAGAATCAGCGACCGTGCAACAGAATGTAAGAGGTCGGCTTGAGAAAAATGATCACGCAAGGCGGGCTAACCTTCGACAGCATAAACAGAACTGAACGCGGGCGACCGCGAGCAGTAACCGCGAAGCAGCGGCGCGCATGGGTGGTGGACAAGTATGAGCATGGCCGTGGGTAGCGGACAGGCGCGTGCATGTCCAAGCACGCACGCACACACGCACGCGCGCACACACATAGACACACAGGCAAACACACACACACACACATTTATATATATATATACACACACATGCATATATAGATATGTAATATATGAGTATCTATGTGATCCCCGGTCGACGACCCACGCCCCCCCCCAGATGGGATGGGTCCCAAGACTCCACGGGCCCCCGCCCCCCCGATGGGATGGGGGTACGAAGACAACGACGACGACGACGAAGACGACGACGACAACGACGGCGACGACGACGGCGACCACCACGACGACGACGACGACGACAGCTACGACGACGACGGCGACGACGACGACGGCGGCGACGACGACGACGACGACGACGACGGCGAGACAATGACAATGACGACGACGGCGGAGGCGACGGCGGCGGCGCCGACCTCAGGAGCGCTCTGACGACGAGGAGGGTGGCGGCGGCGGCGGCGGCGACGACAACCTCGGAAGCTCTCCTAGGGCACCACAATACCACCGCCACACACGCCACACCCACAGCATCACATCACACCCAAAGGAGGGGGGGACCCATCGCGGGGGGTGGGGGGGGACCCGATGCCATCAGCATCGTGGGGGGGGCCCAAACCTGGATCATAGATATATATATATATATATATACACATATACATATATATACACATATACACATGCGGCCACATACACACACACACACACACACACACACACACACACACACAAACACACACACTGACAGACAGACAGTGCTGGTCGCGGCCTCGCGCGCAGTGACGAGGCGGAGAAAGAAAGTCAGAGCGAAGCAGCAGCACGCGCGGCCAGTCCCTCAGAAGATGGGACGGGGATCCACAGGGAATCAACCATGCCGTGCACATACCCAGACATGGGCAGCAAAGCTGGGGAGCAGCCCGCAGTGCCCTGGAGGTAGAAGTGGAGGCGCAGTCCAGCCACGCGGCGACGAAGAAAGGTTCGATGAGGAAAAAGTGTAAGTACAGGCAGGCACACACACACACACGTTTCTCCGTCGGCGCCCGTGTGGGTGTCACCGCAGCGTGCACTAAGGAGGGCCGCGCCTGGTTCAATGACCACCAGATGGGTGGTCAGGACGTGGCTGACGCATGCAATAAAATGCGGCCGAAACGGATGCACGTGGAAAATGCCGAAAGCAGTGCAAGCCGGTGTGGGCGGTGCCACACTCGCAGATGCAGGAAGAGACACTCGCCAAGTCCCTATCGGCCGCAGCCCACTTCAGGGGTGCGAGACGGGCGACGGGAGCGGGAAAGCACCGTAGCTGCAGAGGGGTGAGGGCAGAAGCGAGAGCGGCGAGCACACCGCGGCAAGACCGACGCGACCTGGCGCCGAATCGACGTGCGCACGCGCACCCGGCACCGCTGACGAGAGAGAAGGACGACGGGCGACGCAGCTGCACGGCGCCACGGCCTTTGCGAGAGTTTTTGTCTTCGGCGCACGGCGTGCGCCTGTTTACCAGCCTGGCACATATCCCTATCCCTATGCTGGGCACCTCCTCGTCACGATGCCAATCTTAGGGATTCCCTCATTCTTTGAGGGCGAATCCCTAAAATTGTCATCGCCTTTTGGCGTGCCAATTTTAGGGATAGGGGTACGTTCGAGGCTGGTAACTTGTGGCGCCCACGGCGCCTCCTCAGGACTGGCCCGCGCTGTGCAAGGGCTGTGGCTCGCCCTCTCTTGCCAGCCCCGGGCGCGCGGGGGCAGGACTGGAGGGGAAAGGAAGGATCGGGCGAGACGCTGCCAGAAGGAGCGCTCACTACGCAACGGGCGGCGTTTGCATCGGATCGGCTTCCTCATGAGAGAGTGTGGAATCAGGAGGCACGGACAGCCCGCACGCAGAAGGGCACGCAAACCAGACGGTGAAGGAGGAGGCACACACACACACAACACACACACACACACACTTACACTTACACTTACACTTACACTTACACACACACACACACACACACACACACAAACACACACACACACACACTACACACACACAACACACACACACACACTTACACTTACACTTACACACACACACACTACACACACACACACACAACACACGCACACACTTACACACACACACACACACACACTACACACACACACACTTAGACACACACACTACACACACTTACACACACACACACACACACACACACACACACACACACACGCACACACACACACACAGACAGACAGACAGACAGACAGACAGACAAACAAACAAACAAACAAACAAACAGACAAACAAACAAACAAACACACAAACACAGACACAAACACAAGCAAACTCACACAAGCACACAAACAAACACACAGACATGTTTTACATCGGCGGCTAGGCAAAGTGACCGCGTTGGCAGAAGAGCATTGGTGAGGCATACGAGTGCGAATTAAGCCGCAATGCACGGGGAAGGGAGGAAGAAAGCAGTCCGAGGCCCAAGAGGTCTCGGTCCCTCGCCTGGAAGAGGGGGTGGGGTCTCGTCCTGGATGCAAGTTTTGCTGCCGCACCCACGGCCCGACAAAGGCTCCCTCGAGGCCAAAAGTGGAGGAGAGCGCCTGGATTGAAAAAGCCCATCAGACCGAGGTCTGGGCTCCTCCTGCTGTGCTTTCTTCTCCTCCTGCTACCCCTCCTCCTCCTCCTTTTTCTCCTCCTCCTCCTCCTCCTCCTCCTCCTCCTCCTCCTCTTCCTCCTCCTCCTCCACCTTCCTCGCCCACTCCCACTCCGCCGCCCCCTCCTCGACTCGACCTGAAGCAGGCATCAGGGATGATCTCGACGCTGCCCTCCCCCCACCCCCAGCAGCATTCGCCGCTAGGGGGGGCAGAGAAGTACCTACAAGATGCAGACCAGGATGCACCAGGGCGCCCTCCAGGGAGGGGGCGCAGGGCCTCCTGCTGCCCCTGGAGACAGCCAAAAGGGATGGAGAGGAAGCGGAGCGACAAAACGGCGGGGACGACGGGGAGGTCCTCTCCATGAATGGTTCGACTGTTGCCTCGGGTCTCAACTGCGAGACACCCGTGATGCGAGACACCGGTGGTCGCGAAACGCCCTTGTCCGTCGCAGCGCGGCAGCGGCGCTCCGCACGCGCACTCCAGGGGGCCGGGCTGCGACCAGTCACGAATTTGCCCTGGCCGGCACGCCCGGCCCCTCGGAAAAGAGGCAGGGAGGACCCGCAGCAAAGGTAATGAGACCCAGGCAGGGGCGGCGGGGCGGCGGAGCGCGAGGCGCCCGGCACCCACGGGGCGGCGGCGAGGGAACACCCACGCGCACACGGCCGCTGTGGAGCGCCGGCGGGCGGCACCGCCGGACACGCGCGCGGGGGCCGCGCGCGCGTGCCGTTCCGCCGGCCCCTCACGGGGCAGTGGAAGCAGCAGCTGGGCCGGGAAACTGACCACAGCCACTTGTTTGCGCCGCCTTCCAGGCGGCCGAAAAAGAAGCAGTGGCTGTGGTCATTTCCCTGGTGCCAAGCTTGACGAAAATGGCCACAACCACTGCTTTGCTTCTGCTGGCTGGACGGCGGCAACAGAAGGAAAGCAGTAGCTTTGGTCGTTTTCACGTCCCGTACACTAGCTGGGCCGGCGGCAGCCGAGGCGGCGGGCCAGACGACCGAGACCGGCGCGTCAAGGTGGGCAAGGAACTCGCACGGTCGAAGGCCAAAGGGCGGCCAAGATCAGGACGACCAGGGGCCAGCAAGAAAGGAGCAAGGGTGGCCAAGCAAAGAGAGGGAGAAGCGAGGAGCGAGGACCGGCACACACGCACACACACACACACACACGCACGCACACACACACACACACACACACACACACACACACACACACACGCACACACACGCACACACACACACACACACAAACACACACGCGCGCGCACACACACGCACACAAAACAAAAAGGGACGAGTTCGCCGGGATCGGCCGCGACACGTCTCTTGTCTGGGTGGAGCCCTCACTTGACCGATTCGCCCCCCCCCCCCCCCCGCTCACCTCTCATAGGAGGAGGAGAGGAGAGGAGGAGGAGGAGGAGAAGCACGAGGGGGGGATGAGAAGGAGGATGAGCATGAGGAGGAGGAGGAGGAGGAGGAGGAGGAGGAGGAGCAGGAGGAGGGAGGGGGGAAGGATCAGCATGAGGAGCACGGGGGAGAAACGAGGAGCATGAGGAAAATCCGTCACACGCCAACGTGGACTGCGGATCCGTCGATCGGAGAAGGTGCCCCCCGAAACGTGAAGCCCGTCTGCCTGACTCGGCGACGCTGTGCGACGATTCTGCATGAAAATGCGACCCGTTCCTCACCCACGCGCCCATAATCCGTAGGTCCGCTTCCTTGAGAGGAGGAGCACGAGGAATAAAAGGAAAATGAACAGGAGGAGCAGGAGTAGGAGGATGAGGAGGAGGCTGAGCATGAGGAGGAGGAGGAGGAGGAGGAGGAGGAGGAGGAGGAGGAGACGCATCATGATGAGGAGAGGCTGCGCAGGGGGAGGGGGAGGAGCAGGAGGAGCAGGAGGAGGAGCAGGAGGAGCATGAGGAGCAGGAGGAGGAGCGAGGAGCAGGAGGAGGAGCGAGCAGGAGGAGGAGGAGCCCCCCCCCGCCTGCCCTCCCCCCGCGAGGGGCGCCGCCGCTCCTCGAGGAGCACGTGGCCGCCCGCCGGCGTCCCGGCGCACTGCCGCGCCTCGCGCCGCGCCGCCGCTCAAGGATCGAGCGAGGATCGCGGTCTGAGCGACGATCGATCGATCGATCACAGGGGAACGAAGAATGACATAAAGGTAAAAACTCGGAAGTCCGCACGGATTTCTCGGATCCGCGCTGGACCCCCCTCCCTGGCGCGCGGAGCGCGCCAGGGGCTGCGCTGGAGGCGCCGCCAGAGTGGTCCAGCGCGGAGAAATCCGCGCGGACCTCCGAGTTTTTATGTTTATGTCATGGTTCGAGGGTCGATCAGGGTCGATCAGGGTCGATCAGGATCGATCAGGATCAGGGATCCAGCGATCCTCCCCCTTCGAGCGTCGATCAGGCAGGACCGATCGAGCAATGGAGGATCGACGATCGAGCGAAGATCCAGCGAGGATCGAGGATCGATCGAGGATCGGAAGCCGTCGTCCGCCGCCGCCGTCGCCGTCGCCGCCGCTGTCGCGCGTCGCCCGTCGACCTTCGTCCATCGTCGCCGCCGCCGTCGGCGTCCGCGTCGGCGAAGAGGTCGCCGTCTGCCGTCCGCCGTCCGCCGTCCGCCCGTCGTCTGCTGGGCCTCCTCCGCCGTCTGCGGCCGTCGCTTGGCGATCTCCGCCTCGATTTCGGCGTTGATCTCGACCTCTCAGTTGGCGAGGAGGGGACGGACGGTGAGGGGAAGGACGATGAGGAGGGGGGAGTAGGATACTGGAGGGATCTGAAAGAAAGCGCGCCGGGGGAGCTCTGACATGGTCCTCGAGGGCCACGGTGGCTCCAGAGCCTATCTACGTACATGCATGCACGAAAGCATATTCATACTAGTATATATATATATGTGTACATATTCGCAAACATAGAGAGAGAGAGAGACCAAGAAATTGCCATGACATGTCCGTCCACTCGTCGCGCCAGCGAGGGCCCCTTCCAGCACCTCGGGATCCGCTCGAGCCACGCACCCCGGAAGCCGGCCTGCCGCCGGGCGGGGCCCGGCGTCGGGCTGGGGACCGCTCGGGGGGGGGGGGGAGCGAAGAAGGCGGAGCGGAGCGATGCCGCGAATCCCCGCACCGCCCCGGGGGGTGCAGCCTGACCAGAAGTTCGGATGCCAACCCGGCGGTGGCGGCGGGGGCCTCCCAGGGTGCCCGAACAGGCGAAACCAAGCGGAGGCGGAGCGGAGCGGAGGCGGAGGCGAACCAGTCCACCGCCGGGGGGGGGGAGCGGAGGCGGAGCGGAGCGATACCGCGAATCCCCGCACCTCCCCGGGGTGTGCAGCCTGACCAGAAGTTCGGAGCGAACCCGGCGGTGGCGGCGAGGGCCTCCCAGGTTGCCCGAACAGGCGAAGCCGGGGCCGAGGAAGCGGCATCGGTACCTTTCCCTCCCCCGAGACAGAGGGAAGACCGGCCACGCGCCCCAGCCGCAGGACAAAACAGCTCCTCCTGCCGCAGCGAGATTTACCAGCCTCGAACGTATCCCTATCCCTAAGATTGACACGCCAAAAGGCGATGACAATCTTAGGGATCCGCCCTCAAAAAATAAGGGAATCCCTAAGATTGGCATCGTGATGAGGAGGTGCCCAGCATAGGGATAGGGATATGTTCCAGGCTGGTAAGAGATGTGGCCGACACCGCGCTCGGGCAGCAGAGCAGGCCGCGGGCGGGCAGATTGTGCAACGACTGTAGGAGAGGCACATGTGGCCTCGGAGTAGGACAGACAAACAGACAAACAAATACCTCCACCCCCGCAGACATCCAGCGTCGCCTTTTTGGCACAGCGTGGCGCCCTGAGGTCCGGCCCCTTCCCAGGGATCGGTGCTGCATCCTGGGGCAATGTTTAGCGGCCTTGGGGCCCAGCAAGGGCCCCCAGAGCTGGCGAAAACCTCCCATCCGGATCACTTGACGACACGAAGATGTCAGGACCCAAATTCCCACGGGACCCCTTGTCAAACCCAGCGGCCGTTCGGGACGATCTGAGCACCCCCCAAACCCTGTCGGCGCGGCGCAGATGCTGGAAAGCACCCCGATGCTGGAAAACCGCACAGGACCGACGAAAAGTAACGAAAACCTTGAACTTCGAACGTCGGGAACGTCCAAATACCTCGCACCTCGAACTCCCTCAGGGACCCCCTTTCCCCCATGACGACGCGGGAATGGGAGGACGTCAACTGCACGCCTGCACCGATCCTGGCCTGGCTCATCCTGGGCCCAAGATCGGTGCCTAGGCCCTCCTGGCTTGGGCGGATGCACCAGTCTTTAGAGGCCTCCCGAACGGGCGAGGTCCGAGCAAAGGGGATCGGAGCATCGCGCCGCATCGACGATGCATCGGCGATGCAGCAGCGATACGTTGGCGACGTCGGCGATGATGCATCGGCGCCGTCGGCGTGGAGAAACGCCGGTTCCACGTCGAGCCGCACCGCCGATGCATCAGCGGTGCGGCGCGATCCTCGGATCCCGTCTGCCTGGAACCCGCTTGGGAGGCCCAGAGATGCACTGTAGTCTTGCGCCCAGGATCGGCCCGGCCAGGGTCGGGGCCGGCGTACGGCTGGCTCGTGCCGTGACGACTTCGGCGCGGCTTCCCGACACCGCGTGTACCGTTCCAACCCTGAGCGATCGGCGGCGTTTTGAACGCCAGATCGTTTCAGAGATCGGCGAACAGCACACACATACACACACACACACACACACACACACACACGCGCGCACACGCGCGCACACACACACGCGCGCACACACGCTCAAACCTATAGGAATGCGGAACGGGAAATCCAAGGCGATCGACGAGCTACAGGCATGGGTGCGAACTGTCGGACTCCGAGGGGGGGTCCGTTCGAGCGGGCACCCCCATCCGACAGCACGCACCCAAAGCCCCCCACACACACACAGAAGTCCACCCCAGGAATTCTAAGGGACGCATATGAAAGGGGCCCCCAGGACACACAAATAAATACACACAAATAACAAGATTCCCCATATTTTCCGATATTTTCTGGGTTTTTGTCTTCCCCCCCCACACACTTCCCATATCTTCCAATAGTTTCCTGGGAATCGACGATTAAATGTGTCTGTGTATTTTCCTCTCCTGAGCATAGGCATCGGTCTTAGCCGCCAGCTCGTGAGCCACCTTGGCCGATGCCGGGCCACGGGCGGCGCTCGGCCCCCGACGCCCGCGGCGGCGGCGCCGCCGCCCCGAGATCCGACGCTGCGAGAACAAAATTCAACGTCGCTTAGAATAACATCGCGTGTCTGGGAGGCGACGTCCTCCCCCTCCTCCTCCTCCTCCTCCTCCTCCTCCTCCTCCTCCTCCTCCTCCTCCTCCTCCTCCTTCTCCTCCTGATCTTTCTGCGCCATCTCTCGCGCCGGCTCGATCTGCGAGGGCCGCGGGGCCCGAGCGGGGATCCTCTGACCCAGGTCAGTCCAGACCCGGGCCAGTCGGGCCCTGCAGAACCCTGCAAGATCCTGCAAGATCCTGCACCCAAACCCGAGTCAATTAGGGGAACAAAAAGTGGCATAAACATCACAACTCGGAGGTCCGTGCTGGACCCCCCTGGCGGCGCCTCCGGCGCCGCCCCCGGCGCGCTCCGCGCGCCAGGGAGGGGGGTCCAGCGCCGGTCCGAGAAATCCGCGCGGACCTCCGAGTTCTTATGTTTATGCCACATGTTGTTCCCCTACCAAATGCGACCCTGGCCCCGCCAGAGCCCTCGAGCTCCAGCGCTCTGGCGGACCCCCGTTGGCATGGACCCCCGCCTCTGGGGCCCCGACGCCCGAGAGGGCGCGCAGGCGCCCGGCTCGAGGAACAGTGGAGCCGCCAGGATCTCCCGGGGGCGCGGTCGGCACGCCGCGAGCTCCCGCCGCACGGGGGGGGAGGGGGAGGAGGAGGAGGAGGGAGGAGGAGGGAGGAGGAGGAGGAGGAGGAGGAGGAGGAGGAGGAGGAGGAGGAGGAGGAGGAGGAGGAGGAGGAGGAAGGAGGAGGAGGAGGAGGAGGAGGAGGAGGAGGAGGAGGAGGAGGAGAGGAGGAGGAGGAGGAGGACGACGACGACGAGGAGGAGGAGGAGGAGGCGGAGGAGGAAGGAAGATGGAGGAGGAGGGAGGAGGAGGAGGAGGATGGGGAGGAGGAGGAGGAGGGAGGAGGACGAGGAGGAGCAGGAGGAGGAGAGGAGGAGGAAGGAGGAGGAGGAGGAGGAGGAGGAGGAGGAGGAGAAGGATGGGGAGGAGGAGGAGGGACGGAGGAGGAGGAGGAGGAGGAGGAGGAGGAGGGCGCCCGACGGAGAGGGCGCCGACGGAGAGGGCGCCGAGGGGGGGGGGGGGCCCGCCGGCCTCCGCGGGTACGCCCTCGTCCGCCTCGCGGAGCGCGAGGTCGCCGCACTGCGGGGCGGGGAGCTCCGCGCCCGGGCGGCGCTGCCACCGGCGGACGAAGAGGTCCTCGCGGGGCGGGGGGGGCGACTACTTGGCAGGCACTTGCCTCCGCAGTGGTGCCGGCACGAGGAAGGCGAGCAGGAGGACTGCAGTGTAAACCCTGCCTCCCTCCTTGTTTTTTGACCAGCCCACAGGCCACCCCAGCCCAACCCGGAGACCCGAGTGTCGGGTCGGGGGGGGGGGGGGGGGGTGCGGGTTCCGCATGTGCTTTGCCAAGGCTCCCCGAGCCCCCCCCCCCCCACCCCCCACTGGGAATAGAGGGCAAGTGGGGGCCTTCGGGTTGGGTTGGGGTGGTTTGGTGGGTGGTGACTTTGTGACGTCAGGCAAAGTTCATCAAAAGCTAGGCTTGCAGCGTGCTGCAGCAATATTATTTTTACTTGTATACACAACTGTTGTATAGCTATATGTTTGTAGTTCAATGTAACTATAAGCAAAAAATGACTCCGACTCTTAGCGAAGTGCGAGCCCAAATTGAGGGCTCAGGTTGACTAAGCAGGCAGCCGATGGGAGAGGAGGGGGTTGTGGGTTTTCCCCCAGGACCCACAGGGGTGGGGGGGGGTCTTTCCCCCCAGGAACTCCCCTCTCAAGGGGGGATATGTTGGGAGGGTTTGAGGGTGGTAATGGCTTTTCTCCCGAGGACCCCCCCCCTCAAAGGGGACTCTTGGGGGGGGGGGTCCCCTTGGGAACCCCCCATATCAAAGGGTTTTGGGGGGGGTGGGGGGAAGCCGTAACATCACTCCCTGCCTCCATCCCTCCTTCTCCGCCCGTCGACGCGGCACCCACGCCGAAGCTGCGGATCACAGTGGGGGGAAGGCGCAGGACTCGGCCAGGGACCCCCGCGCAGGTGCGGATGTTGGCCAGCATCACGAGGAGCACCAGAGTGCTCGCTCACTCAGGTGGTTTGTTCCCTTTCCACGTGCAGTGAGAACATGTCCAGAAGCCGACGCTGGAATCGTGCGACGTACGACGTACGACGAGAGACGACGATCGCTCTGGTCGAGCTCTGTTCGCAGCCCCCCAGGGAGCTGCGAGATCTCGAGTGCTCCGATACTCCGCCGTGCCTCCCAAGAGCCCACGAGAAGTGGCGACACGTGCAAAGTTCGCAACCACCCAGGGAGCTGCGCAGGAGGAGGCAGGAAGAGGGGGGAGGGAAAGAAGGAGCAGGAGTCGAGACCGCAGCGCTCGGTTCAAAACGAGAACCCAACACGGGAGCTCTGGGGAAAAATGGCGACGGACCCAACCGTATGCAATTGTGCATGCCGCGTCGTAGTTACCGCTCTCGGTGGAGCTCCCTATGGGGCCCCGAAGCGCGAGAGGGGTGCGCCGTGATGGAGGTGGTGCGGAGCGCATGCGAACTGTGCCGTTAGGGCCTTCGGTGGAGCTCCCCGTGGGGCCACGAAACGTGCGAGGGGTGCGCCGAACTGGGCCCGGGGTGCGCATGCGAAGGTCGCCAATGAAGCCGTCGGTGCAGTCGGCCAGCGTGGAGACGCGCGTGGGCCCTCCCACTGGGGCCTTCGGTGGGGCTCCCCATGGGGGCACGCAACGTGTGAGGGGCGTGCCAAAGTCGAAGTGGGGCGGGAAGGCGCAGGTGGACCCTCCCACTGGAGGGGCCTTCGGTGGAGCTCCCTATGGGGTCACGACACGTGTGAGGCGTGTGCCGAAATGGGGCGGGGAGGCGCATGTGGACCCTGCCGCTCGGAGCCTCCATGGGGCTCCCTGTGGGGCCACGACACGTGTGAGGAGTGCGCCGAGCTGGCTGCCCGCTGCGGAGAGCACGGGCGAGAAGGGGGGCAGGGGGGAGGGGCGGGGCGGAGCCGGGAGGGCAGGAAGGAAGAGGACGCGGGGCGCCGTCTCTTCGAAACGCAGGCCCAACACCACAGGATCGCTGGAGGCGGCGCGGCGGCGGCGGCGATGGCTGGCAGCCGCCGGTCCTGGCTGCCGCTCGAGCCACCGCCGACGGCGCAGGCGCCCGGCACGACGGGCTGCAGCGGGGCCACCGCGCACGCGGCTGGGGCGCAGGCCGCCTCTCCCCGCGGGGGTCCCTGGAGGCAACGTGCTCGGCCGTGGACCACTCGGCGACGTGCCGACTGGCTTGGGGCAGACCTCGGAGGCCTGCGGGCCCTCGTCGGCGGTCGGTCCTCGGTGGGCTTCGGCGGCAGCCAGCGGTCTTCGGCGCGGAAGCTGGCTGGCTGTGAGCAGAGAGGAGGCCCGTGATCGAACACCTGACGAAGAGAAAGCGCCTGCCCTCCACCCCAACCACCCAAAGCCGTCAATGGCGGAGGCACAGCCAAAAAAACGACTGAACCGGCAGCGAATCCGAGACCGAACGAAAGCGACGGGCCGCAGGTAGTCTGGGAGGGCACGGCGACGCAGGCACGGCACAAGAACCGACCGAGCTCAACCGACTGCGACGCAGCCTGAACGACCGATCCGAGGACCCCCTTCGCTACCCCCCAGGGCCTTCAGAGAGTTTTTGCCTCTCTCAGGCCCAATCGATGCTGCTTCCCGACTGTCGCGTCCGGGCGTGGCGCTCGCGATGCTGTCGCCGGGCCGGCAAGGGCATAGCCGACAGGGGAGGGGATAGGACAGCGGGGGAGGTGGAGGAGGAAAGGCGGAGGGGAAGGGGAGAGGGACAGGGGAGAGCGGGGGGAGGGTTGAGGGGAGGGTTGAGGGGAGGGTTGAGGGAAGGGTTGAGAGGCGGGTTGAGGGGAGCGCGCCAATGTGTGTATACCTTTGTGTACATATGTGTAGAACTATATATATATATATATATCTCGAGAGAGAGAGGCACATTTGAAAATGTACATACTGTATAATGACATAACATACACATATATATATATATACACACACCTATGTGCATGCGCATACATATACAAATGTAGATATATGAATACGCGAATATGCACACACACACACACACACAGGAGCGCAAACAGGCATGCATACCTGCATATAAATGTAATAGTTCAGACATTGATAAGTTTTACACATGAATCTGAAATTCACCTACACACATAGATGTACACATAAACACATACGTTTACCTGTATTGTCACACACATACAGCTACACACATGTGCACATGTACAAAAATACGCATATGTAAATGTACTAGTGTGAAAGCATACCTACCAACTACACGTATGTATAATTGCATACATAAACATAAGCATGCACAAATACATGTACATACACAAATAGGTATGCGTATACGTATGTATATACGTGGACATGTACATGAGCACTTACACCTATTGTTATAAGGACGACTGCATATGCATGAACTAATAAGTACACGTATACTTCCGCATACACATGTACGTACACAACTAGATTCATATACACCTACGCATATTTATACATACACGTACACATATACAGAACCATGGCACAGGACAATACCAAATGAAAAAACGTCTTAGGGCTATAGGGCTATGGGGCGATTGGGCTATAGGACGATGGGGCTATGGGGCTATAGGGCTATGGGGCTATCCGGCTATAGGGCCATAGGGCTATAGGTCTATAGAGCTCTAGGGCTATAGGGCTAGAGGGCCCTAGGGCTACAGGGCTGTAGGGCGATAAGGCTATGGGGCCATGGGGCTCTGGGGCTCTGGGGCTTTAGGGCTATCGGGCCATGAGGCTATGAGTCTATAGGGCTATGGGGCTGCAGGGCTATAGGACCATAGGGCTATAGTGCTATAGGGATATAGGGCTATGGGGCTACAGGGCTGTAGGGCTATAGGGCTATAGGCATGTAGGGCTGTAGGGCTATAGGGCTATAAGGTTATAGGGTTATAGGGCTATAAGGCTATAGGGCTATAGGGCTATTGAGCTGTAGGGCTATAGGGCTATAGAGCTATTGGGCTATTGGGCTATAGGGCTATAGTGCTATTGGGCTATTGGCCTATTGGGCTATTCGGCTATTGGGCTATAGGGCTACAGTTATAGGGCTATTGGGCTAAGGGCTAAGGGGCTATAAAACCATAGAGCTATAGGGCTCTAGGGCGATAGGGCTATAGAGCTATAAGGCTATAAGGCTTTAGAGCTATAGGGTCATAGGGCTATTGGGTTATAGGGCTATAGGGCTATTGGGCTATAGGGCTATACCTATAGGGCTATAGGGCTATAGGGCTATAGGGCTATAAGGCTATAGGGCCATAAGGCACCCGGGCACCCGGGCGGGCCGAGGAAAGCCGTGGCAAACCTCACCAAACCTCACCTAACTATATGAATGCGCTAGGACCCCACGGAGGCAAGTTCTGATTGGGAAACCTGTACAACTACACCTATGCATACAAATGAATATGTAGATATAGAAATATATATATATATATACACATTACACACATATGCAAATTCCGATAAACATGCATATACACATAGGCCTACGTCTACCTATAGATGTACATGTATGTCCGAACGCATACACAGATACTTATATCTATATATATATATATACAGACACATGTACGTGTACATGTGCATGCACGTGTACATGTCCATATGCACGGACGTGTGCGCATACATATATGTGCATATCTACATATATATACTGAATATATATATATATATATATATATATATATATGCATACACATGTAAATGTGAGTGTACGTGCATACTTCTGTGCACCTACATATACATAGACATCTACAATACATATACATACACATATGTATGCATAAATACATGTGCATACATAAACATGCGTGCATGGAAATACGTGTGTACAAATACGTGTGTCCATACATACATACATATCGGCATATAGTCATACATGAATAAATGCATATGTATATAAAGACGCATACATACATATACATATTCATATTCATATACATATACATATACAAATACATATACATATACAATTATACATATATACATATATGTATATATTCACGCCGATCCTGGCCAGGCCCAAGCCGTGCCCAAAGAGTCAGCCCACGCACTCCCTGTGGCCCTGCGCCCAGGACCCGCCCTGCGCGGGAAGCGGTGCAGGCGAACAGTTCCGTGACGCCCTGGGGGCACGGTGGGCGAGGCACCGTCGCTGGAGGCACTCGGGCATTGCTCAAGGAAGGGGGGGCAGTACGTGAAAAACGGGGTGGCAGGAAGGCATTCCTTCTCGTCGACCCTCGCGGCCCGTCCTGGGCCCTTCGGGGGCCTCCTGCAGGCAACCCTCGAGTCCACCTCCGGTCTGTCCACGGCAGACTCGTGCCGTGCCGACGTCGGTTTTCGGTTCCTGACACCGCGGGGATCGTTCCACCCTGAACGCTCGGCCGTTTCTTCAACGCCAGATCGTTCAACATCGGCCGAGTCCGAGTTGCTGACGGCGCTCAACGTCGAGCGCCTGGCGGCGGGGTCGCCGCCCGCCGACACGGCGCGAGCCTGCCGCATCGCCCCCCTCCCACACGCGGCGCGGCGCCCCATGCGCTGGGCCCCCCCGCAGCCTCCGGCCAGCCCGCCGCCCTCGCCGGGTCCCGCGAGAGGGCCTGGCGCGGGGCCGCGGCGCGGGGCCGCGGCACGCTGGGAGGAGCCGGCGGCGCGCGGGAGGTGGCGGGGAGAGGGGAGGAGCGAGGAGGAGCGAAGAGGAGAAGAGAAGAGGAGCGAAGAGGAGCGAGGAGGAGGAGGAGGAGGAGGAGGAGGAGGAGGAGGAGGAGGAGGAGGAGGAGGAGGGGTGCGGCGCTCTGAGGGGGGGCGGGGCAGGCCTCAGGCTGCCCCGCGACGCATGGAGCCCAAGAGGCGTCCCTTTGCTGTGGACGGATCCCTGCGCTGCTGGCCTTCCATGCAGAAGGACGGTCCCGGATGCGGAGCGCCCGCGCTGGCTGCGCAGACTGGGCCAACACACTGGGATGGCGCGCTCCTATGCACAACCACATCCTGCGAGGCATGCGCGATTGGACCCGACAGTTTCCAAAAGTCGGCACAGAAAAGTTTGAGATGACCCGGTGGTCGACCAGGGAAATCTGTGCTGCTGCGTTCTTCTTCCTTCTGTCTTCCTCCCTCCCTCCCTCCTCTCTCCCTCCTCTTCTGCCTCCCTCCCTCCGTCCCTGGGGGAAGGGGGGGGGGGCCCGTGTGCCCTCCCCCCTCCCGGGCCGCCCCAGCGCGGTGGCGGAGTCGCGCGGCAGCAGAGCAGAGCGCACCACCTGTGCGAGAGGGGAACCCTGCTCCGGAAAGAGCGCGGCTCGTGCTTTCAGCATGAGCTCTCGAGCAGCGCTGCGGCACGCGCCCCGCGCGCCAGCGGAGCCACGCCGCGAGCGGGGAGGGCGTGCGGCGCTCGGAGCGGGCGGGGGGCCTCCCGCAGCCCGCGACCGCAGCAGCCCTCGAGGCTGTGCTGCGTCGTCACGCCCTCGCGCGCCCTCGCGCGATGCGTCATAGCCTCGCGCGCCCTCGGAGAAGGGCAGTCGCTCTGGCCCGGATCGCGACGCGCGAAGAGCGACCGTCGTCGCGCCCCCGCGGGTGGCCTGCAGCAGGAGCTCGGCCGCAGGAAACCTCCCGCAGGAAGCCCCGCCCTGGGGCCCCAGGACGTCCACTGACTTGTGCTGGTGCGGGATGGGCTTTCCACCTGTGGTGCATGTGCGGCCGGACCCAGGGCAGAAGAGCGTCCTTCGAGCACGGTGAGACCCTCCGCCGGCCAAAACACAGAGAACAGAGGGTACCCTCCCAGGGATGCACGAGACCATCCAACAAGCACGAAGAACATCAGGGTACCCTCCCCGAACCGACCTCGATCTTGTAATTCGGCCCGACCGTAGTGTTGTATGTACTTGTTTGCCCCCCCCTCTCCAATGTCGGCCATCATGGAACCGCAGGGGCCATGCTAAGGGGGGTCACTGCTAGGGTTAGGTCAGGCATGTCCCCCTACAGGCGGATTCTGGACGATAAATGAAAAATAGCCACAAACTCCTGGGAAAAAATGGTCAACTAAAATCAAAAATCGCCCCCAGAGGACTAGTTTTCTACATTTTTCTATTCCTCCTGTAGAGGGACATGCCCAACTCAATGCCAGGGGGGGGCGCCACCTCGTCGAGGAGGACGGCCCCTCGAGACCCCCAAGCCCCCCCCCCCCCAGAACCTCCCGAAAACTCCCCCCAAGATCATCCAACACCTCGTCGACCCCCTGCCGCTCGGACCTCGATCCTCAAGCGAAGCTAACGAGCCCCCCCCAATGGTGGCCCTCATGGTGCTGCCTGAGCCGCTGCATGAACCCGAGCGGCGGGAGCGACGTCGGTGGGAAGCCTGGTCCGAGCGCCCTCCGAGGACACCTCCAGGGATCGTGCCTGCAGGGGGTGGTCCCTCCTAGCTGGGGGACGGAGGAGGAGGAGGAGGAGGAGGGGGAGGAGGAGGAGGAGGGGAGGAGAGGAGAAGGAGGAGGAGGAGGAGGAGGAGGAAAGGAGGAGGAGGAGGAGGAGGACGAGGAGGAGGAGGAGGAGGAGAGGGGAGGGAGGAGGAGGAGGAGGGAGGAGGAGGAGGAGGAGGAGGAGGAAGGAAGGAGGAGGAAGGAAGGAAGGAAGGAAGGAAGGAAGGAGGGAGGAGGAGGAGGAGGAGGAGGAGGAGGAGGAGGAGGAGGAGGAGGAGGAGGACCCCCTGACCGCCTCTGGGGACCTCGGACCTCGGACCCCTGGGGGGGGCACCTGGGAGTTCGGAGGGGCGGGCGGCGGGCGCGGGCCCAGCCGCCGCGCGAGCCCACGGCCCGCCCAGTCGCGCCCCCCTCGGGGCGGGTCCGGGGATCGATCCCTGCCGTGTGTTGCCGGGAGTGCCCCTGGCCCAAGGTGCCTCCAGGATCCCGGCGGCCCACAGGGGGCCCCATGGGGCTCCCAAAAAATCGAGCGAGAAAAGTGGGGGGCACCTTGGGCCAAGGGGGCACCTTCAGCAACTCCCAGCTCAGGGGGAGGGACCACGCGCGAGGGGGCTCGAGGGGCGCATCGCGGGCGGCACCTCCCGGCCCCGTGCGAACCCCTCGGGGCGGGTCCAGGGCTCGAGCTGAGGGGCAGGGAGCCCCCGCGCCTGGGGGCTCGAGGGGCGCAGCGCGGGCGGCAGCCTCCGCGTCCCCCGTGGCGGCGGCCCCCCGCGCGGCCCAAGCCGAACCTGGGGCGCCAGGCGCGCGACGGCGAGGCTCGAGGCCGCGCTCGTGCCCCCTGGCGCCGCGAGCTCCCCGCAGCTGCAGGGAGGTCGGGCCTCCGGGGCGTCCGAGAGGCCGAGGCGGCCCCAAGAGGCCCCGCCCGTGCGGGGCTCAGGCTCGGCCCGGCCGCGGGCCGCGAACGCGCCCGAGGGCTCGAGGCAGAGTCGAGGCTCCCGCGGGCGAGCTCGTGGTTCGCCGCCGCCGCCGCCGCCGGACTCCCGCAGGCGAGAGCTCGTGGTTCGCCGCCGCCGCCGCCAGAGGGCCCTGGCCCTGGGGCACGAAGCGGGCCTCCAGGCGAGGATCCGCCGCCCTCAGCCCTCGAAAAAGCTGGGTCTGGGGTCGTGCTGGCCATCTCCGTGCCTCCGCCCTGCCTCCCGACGCCACGCGTACTGACCGAGGAGCCTCGCCGAAGACATGGAGAATCGCCCTGTGCTATTCGCCCCAATCGTCAACACGGGAGCAAGCTGTGGGTCCCAAGACGGTGCGGTGACCTCGGACGTCACCGCACGGTCTGTCATCGCACGGTGGAGGCGAGTCGGTCGAGCCAGCCTCGGAGAGCGGCTCCAGGCCCCAGAAGCCGTGCGGTCGGTCGTCTCGAGCTCCCACTGGCGCACCACACGGCGTGGTCCCCGCACCGGTTGGGGGTCCCTGCGAAAAGTTGCGTGTGAGACCTTGATTTCCACGACGCCCGGGGCCCTGGGGAGGGTCTGCAGAGCTCTGCTGCGGCAACCGGCCGCGTGATGCTCCTCGGCTAGGATGTCCACCGCTGCCCGCGACCGCCCATTCTCCCAGCGCGCAGTGGTGAAAGGCTACTTACACTCCCCAGCCTCTGTGGTGCGGCTGAAGTTATCCTGGCGATTGCGGTGAAGGCCTGAGGGAAAAAGGAGGAGCAGCGGGCGGAGGGAGAGGAGGAGGAGGAGGAGCAGGAGGAGGACGAGGACGAGGAGGTGATAGAAGAGGACAAAGAGGAGATAGACATGGAGATGGGCGAAGGAAAGGAAGGAAAGCAAGAGGAGAAGGAGGAGATGGACAGAAAAGACAAGGAGGCGGAAGAGGAGGAGGAGAGAGATGCCTCTGCCCGTTTTCCAGAAGCCTCTGGGTGACCCCGAGACGCCTCCGACGGGGGCACAACAGCACCAAAGACGTCCGAAAAGCTGTGGCCCAACGAGGAGGACAAGGACGGGAACGAGGACGGCGGCCACGGCGACGGCCACGGCGACGGCGAAGGCCACGGCGACGACAGCGGCCACGGCCACGGCCACGGCCGCGGCGACGACGGCGGCACCGCCGCCGCCGACGGCCGCAACGGCGCCGACGTCGCCCCAGCGCCGGGGGCCAGGCCTTGCCCATGTCGCGGCCGTGCCCCTCGCCCACCGCGCGCGGCCGCCGCGCGCGGGCGTGCGCGGGCGGTGGGCGCAGTGGGGCCCTGCGGGCACACCGAGAGGGCGTCGTCGTCGTCGTCGTCGTCGCCGCCATCGTCGTCGCCGTCGACGTCGCCACCAACACCGCCTCCGCCGCTGCCGCGGTCGTCATGGTCGTCGTCGTCGTCGTGGCCTCGGCCGCCGCCGCCCGCCGCCGTCGTCGTCGTCACCATCGCCGTCCTCCCCCCATATATTCCAACTCCCCATCTCCTCCACCTCGCTTCCTCCTCAACAAAATCACCATCAGCATCACCATCACCATCACAATCACAATCATCGTCCTCATCATCATCAGCATCAGCATCACAACCGTCACCATCACCATCACCATCACAAGCATTACCAGCATCATCACCACCACCACCACCACTATAACCACTATCATCATCATGATCGTCATCATCATCAGCATCATCAGCATCATCATCATCATCATCATCATCATCATCATCATCATCATCATCATCATCATCATCATCATCATCACCATCATCATCATCATCATCATCATCATCATCATCATCATCATCATCATCATCATCATCATCATCATCATCATCATCTCCCAACTTTTCCTGACACTCGTCCTGCCCATCGTCGTCATGAGGTTCCTCGCGTTCTTCGTGGGCGCCTTCACCGACAGGCGTTTGGCCTGGCCAATCCTGCCAGCAGCAGTCGACGCCATTTCCCGCGGGGGCCCAAGGTGCGACGGCCTCGTGACAGGACACAGTGCTGCTCGGCTGACAGCAGCACCAGCCCCACCACCCGCTACGGGAAAGCGACCCGCCACACCACTGCGGGCAGCCGCCCCAGCTGGAATTGGTATTCCTCTTCCTCCTCCTCCTCGTCCTCTTCAATTTCCTCCTCGTCCCTCTCGTCTTCTTATTCTAGACCATCCATCATTTGATCAGTATGAAAGAGAGTATGAACAGTTCTTTATGTTTTTACATGTAGTACTGCTCGTGTTTAGTCAGCGTATAAGTATTATTATTGGTGTGAGTAGTAAGACTAGCATTAGCACTAGTATTACAACTATGGATAGCCATGACTTTACTATATGTATTATTCATGTTCGTCATAGTAGTAGTACTACTACTACTACTACTACTACTACTACTACTACTAAACTACTGCTACTACTACTACTACTACTACTACTACTACTACTACTACTACTACTACTACTACTACTACTACTACTACTACTACTACTACTACTACTACTACTACTACTACTACTACTACTACTACTACTACT